CTGCCTGCCCATGGGCCCAGACTGGGGAGCGTCCCTGCCCGCCTGGAGCCAGCCCCGGAGCCACCTGCTTGCAGGAGGCCTGTCTCAAGAGCCCTCGCTTCACCTGGTTCCGCTTTGCTTCGCCACCCAATCGCCTTTCCCTTTGGTCCCCGCTCCTCCCCTGCCCAGGCTTTGCTGATTGGCGTCATCACCAGGTGTGGTTCCCATAGCAACCTGCTGCACAGCCTGGGTCAGAGCCCGCCCAGACTGGGGAGCGTCCCTGCCCGCCTGGAGCCAGCCCCGGAGCCACCTGCTTGCAGGAGGCCTGTCTCAAGAGCCCTCGCTTCACCTGGTTCCGCTTTGCTTCGCCACCCAATCGCCTTTCCCTTTGGTCCCCGCTCCTCCCCTGCCCAGGCTTTGCTGATTGGCGTCATCACCAGGTGTGGTTCCCATAGCAACCTGCTGCACAGCCTGGGTCAGAGCCCTGCAGGGGAGCAGGGTGGGGAGGTCCCCCCTCGCCCCCCCAGACCTGGCCTCAGCCTGCCCTGTGAATACGAGCCCAGCCGCTGCCACCACCACAGCCCACAGCTTCCCCTCGCCTGGAACCGACTTGTTTTTTTAATAAGTTATTTAGACAGAATAGCACTCTGCATGCCTGTAATTCTCGGGACAAAACGGTAGTTGACGCCCTCACACGCACACCTGTGTGTCTAGAATAGGCGCTATTTCCTGCCCAGTCTGGTCCGGGTGGGTGGAGGGTTTCAAAATTTGGAATCGGGAGGGAGCTCCTGATTAGCATCATTTCCCCCAAAGAGCATTCCTAGTTTGTGAGGAGGCTGAGGCCCCTGCCCAGCTCGGAGGTGCCGCTGCCTTTGGGAGGGACCAGTGGGCCCTCTGTCCAGCTTGGCTGGGGGCCTGGACGCTGGCGCTGCTCGGCCTCCTGAGGTTGGGGCTGGGGCCGTCGGGCAGGGTGGCCCGGGCGGGGACGAGCAGGTGGTTGGCAGTGGCCGCACGTCCAGCTGCGAGCCTGGACCCGCCACCGAGACCCCTTCATTGGGGGCTTGGAGGAAGGGACCCACATGGGCCGCGGAGGGGACGTTCTTAAAGGGCCTTTGCAAGTGAGCGAGCGAGCAGGGTGCCCGGTTTCCCCGGTGCCTGCGTGCTGTGGCGTGAGGCGTTGGCGGAGCACTGTACAGACCCCGCTCTCCCCTGTACATACCCCGGAGGCCGGCCCCGCTCGGGGTGGGAGTTTTGTAGACTGTACAGAAATCGGCACCCTATTTTCTTGCAGCTCAGATTTTGTTAACCTGGATTATACAGACAGACGTAAAGCGTTTTAGCAAAATGGAAAAGCTGTGCCTTTCTCCTTTCTGTTGGCTGGGTTCTGGCTGGGAGCAGCCTCCGCTGCCATGGGGCCCAGTGGGCGGGAGGGCAGGAGGTGGCCGCGGGTC